TGACCTGATTTGGAGCTCTAATTGAAAAAGAAAAGATTATTGAAAATCTGAATTTCACTGATAACTAAAAAATAATCGAATGGAGGGTCCAATAATGAAGAATAATTAATGATAAGAAAATTAAAAAGATGACAATGTACTGAAATAATGAAAATGGAATAGTGAGAAATTTAGAGATTAGGAAAAGGAAGAATTGATGCTCTGAAATAAATAGAATAAATGGAAAATAGATTCTTAGACAAATAAAATAATTTGTAAAACAAATTCTCTTGAAGACAAGTAATAGAAACAGTTTAGGAAGGTATAGTTTTTGTTGAAGCTATCGAACTCATAAAATATCATAAATTTGTAATCACGGGTTTTGATGTTTACATTGATATCCCATGATTTTTATAATTAATAATAATTATAATAAATCATTTATCAGACAAAAAATAATTATCAGGCATTAATAACTTTTATTAAGCATTATTTGTATTAATAAAATTGTATTAAAAACTTATGTATGAGAATCCTTGTAGTAAAAAAAAAGATGAAATTTTCAAATAAATTTTAAGATTTTGTAATATCTATATGTTTAATGTGTCAAACCTTTTTGAAAATATATATTTTCATTTATAATATATTAATAAAAATCTAAACATTTCGCAATGATTCATATAATTTAAGCTTATAATTTCTTAAAAGTATGTGATTTTCTATACTGTAGAAGTTAACAATTTACATAATAAATTTTTTTTTCTTTCTTTTTTCTTTTTATTTATATTTAATTTGGATGAAATTTTTTACAATGGCCTTTTATTTTTTTATTTAATAGTTGCAAAACCTTATTTAATACAATTTAATATATAATATAAAATTCAAATATAATAATATCATTATCATAAAAATGCAAAAATACTACATAACTGAAATAAGAATTTTCATTTGTTATTTTAATATAAGTATATATCCAGCTAATGAACTGTAATTTGAAATTGCCATTGCTTCAACTTCTTCATTCTAGCATCAAATATTGATTAAATTGCTATATTACATCCTGAATAATTAAACTATAGAATAGTATAACTAATCAGAAATTTTTAAAGATCCTAATGAAAAATAAATAAGAGAGCTATTATATGTAATGTATCTATCATAAGAAAGATTTGTAAATATATATATAATTTATAGTAAACAATAGCTTAATCATAGAATACTAAATAAATCACTTATCTGATATTTTGAACTGAATAATTATAAGGTAGCTAATAATATTGGGAATCAAATTTGATTTATGATTCTGGACTCTTGTGAAGCTCTAAATTAACCAATCAAATTTAATTTTTCTAATATAATAGTTATTCAGCACTTCATGCTAAATAACTATTAATTATAATCATTATTAATTATAAAAAAATCACAGATTACCAGATAATTGTTATTACTAATAGACCTTTGAATCAAAATAATATTAGATTTTCTTTTATTATAATGAATTATTAAACTGTTTATGTTAATTTTTTAACAAAATTTTTTTTTTGCTGCTATTAACTATAAGTTATAATATTATGAAAAACACTAACAATTTATAAATATCTGACCAACTAATCTTATTAAAGATTTAGATCAAATATTTTATGTAAAAATATGAAAATTTGAGAAAATAAATTGTTATAATTACCTGAATATTAAAATTAATTATATAATTTATTATTATATTTTAAATGTCTATTCAGATCACATATTATTTATTTTGATGTAAAACTTTTATTAGAAACTGCATCTAAAATACTATGTTAAAGACTCATTATAGTTTAATAAAAATCATAATAAACTAATAATACAATAAAAAATTAAAATAAAAATGTTTTAATATTTAACTTTATAATTGTAAAAGATCTATTTGAACCATTTATTTATAATAATGATATAGATCACTGCTAAGATAATAATTTAAAATAAATTATTTTTTTGAATTATTAGTTTTAGAAATAATAAAACTTTATTAACCGTTAAACTTAAATAACTAAAAAATTAATTTTGCTTATTTTATTATATGATTGTCAATAAAAACTGATTGAGTTCTTCTTTCATCTATAATTAATATCAGTTTTAAATTTTTAATATATCTTTATATTAATAAAGTTGTGATGATCTCATTTTTCATAATTAATATTTAGCTACAAAAAAAAGTAATTAAATACATATATACATTAAATATTATGTTAAATTTGCACTTTTAAAGGTCAAAAAAATGTAAATGAAAAGTCAGAGTAAAAATAAAGACTATTAAGCTACTTTAAAGTTAAATCTTAGCTTTATTTGTAAAATATTATATTATATAAAATTTAAAAAAAAGATTAATTGTTATGATAAATAAATTATATATATAAAATGTTTAACTGAACTAGAGCTTCACTATAAGCTAAACTGCTTGCAAGCCAATTGAACTAGCTCATTTAGGTTTAGCTTAAGCTATTATAAAATGAGCTGTGAGTCATACAAGCTGGCTTATGCTTTAGCTTAGTTCATATTGCAGTACAGCTCATTGGCTTACATTTTCTTTTTTAAAGTAAATATATCTAAAGAAGATTTTTCTTTGAAGAAAAGATATTTTGATAATGTTTATTTAAAGAAATAGTCTCAATAATAAAGATAAAAGAATTCAGTGACATTTTCTTTGAAGAAAAATAAACCTGATAATATTTCCTTTAAAAAAAATGAACCCAGTGATATTTCCTTTAAAGAAAAATGCATTTGATGGCATTTTCTTAAAGAAAAATACACGCAAGACTGAATTTCTTTAAAAGAATTTATATCTGAAGTGATTTTCTTAAATGATTTTACTTCTGGAGTGATTTTTATAAATAATTTCACTTTTAGATGTGATTTCTTTAAAGAAAAAGCTATAGAGATGATTCCCTTTAAGAAAATCCTTTCAGAAGTGAAATCCTTAATAAAAATCATTCAGAAAATAAAATTTTTTAAGGAAATTATTCCAGAAGTGAAATCTTTTAAGAAAATCATTTCAGAAATGAAATTCTTCAAGAAAATATTCTAAAAGTAAAATCTTTTAAGAAATAGTTCTGAAAATAAAATCCTTTAAGAAAATCATTTTGAAGTGAAATCCTTCAAGAAAATTCCTCTGAAAGTAAAATCCTTTAAGGAAATTGCTTTAAAAGTGAAATCCTTTATAGAAATTGCTCTAAATATATTTTTTTCAAAGAGAAGTGTTTAGATTAAAGGAAATCATTCCAGAAACATTTCTCTTGAAGAAAATCATTTCAGAAATTTTTTTCTCAAAAGGAATTGTCCTAGAAATGTTTTTCTTAAAAGAAATCATTTCAGAAATATTTCTCTTAAAAGAAATCATCTGAAAATAATTCTCATAAAAGAAATCATTTTGAAAATATTTTTTCGAAGAGAATCATTCTAGAAACGTTTCTCATAATGTGAAACAATTTTTTCGACCAGATATTTATTTCAAATATTAAATGCAAGCTAAATGAACTGGCTTGCAAGCTAGCTTGGCTTGGTTTGTTGATTAATTTTTTGAGTTGAGCTGAGTCAAGCTGAAAAAAGTGGTTTTGCTTAAGCTGGTAATAAGTTAAGTCAAGTTAACTTATGCAAAGCTTTAAACTGAATAATATAAATAAAAAATTCAATCAAAAAAAGTTTTTAAAAAACTATTTAAAAAAATCCTTAAAAGACTTGAAAACTAGAATTGATGAGTTAGAGTAAAGTAACAAAGGGTTATATTTAGAATTAAAATATTTAGAAGAAAGATTAAAAAATGTAATGAAGAATCCAAAGTAGAGGTTAGAACTGATCAAAAAATCCTTAACTAATTAATAATCGATTAATAAGCTACTATAACTGAATAATAATTAGTTAATTAATTGGTTAATTAATTGGTTAATTTGTAATAACTTTAATTAGTTAATTAACTGATTAATATATAAATTTCACATTTAAAATATGTATTTTATAACTTTTTGCTTACAATAATAATTAATGTTTCAAAATATTAATTTATATATAAATATTTAATTACAGAATTTATAAGTAATATTAAAAAAAAATAAAAATATGGAAATATTTAATAAAAAATATTATTTTAATTTTTTCGAAATTTAATAAATAAAAATTTGTTAGTTTAATATAAGAGAACATTTCAATTACAGTATTAACAGCAAGTATGAATATATCAATGTATTTTAAGTTTCTTTTAATAAAAAATTTCTTGAAAAACTTTTGAACTAAAGCGTGTCTGTTTGTTTAACATGCTATTTTTAGTATTTGAAAATAGCGTTCACTTGGAACAGATGTTGCTGGGATAGACAAGTATTTGCGTGCTAATATTACTAGTATGGGAAATCTTTGTTTATTCTGATTTCACCATTCAAAAGAATTAATGGAAAGATCTGCTTTTTCTGTAATATTTTTCATTAAAGTAATTATCAACCTCACTTGTTTTTTTTACATTTTTGATTTTTATGGAGTGTATTAAAAATTGAATCGTCTGCTAATTGTTTTCCAGCAGTTGATAGCTCTTCTGATTCTTTATTTTGATTTAACTCAAATTTTAAATCTTCATACATCTGTTACAGTTCAACTTCAGTTTTTATTTAATAAAAAGTCAAGATCTTTGTATCTAAGATCTAGAATTATTGAAAGCAAAGCATATTGATTAGGTTTTTGCCAATAATGGTCAAGAGACTTTATGATTGTTATTAATACTCTTTTAATTATTTGATGAGAATTTGCAGATTCTGGTTGAGATTTTGTAATATATCTTCAGAGATATTCTGTGATTTCCTTCTATATAGCGGATTTGAATAATGTAATGTTATTTGGGGTGATTTTTAGTTAACTTGTATATTGGAGGATATAGTGTTTTAATGACACGAAGGAATTATAATGTACAAATACAAGTTACAAAAGTACTACCTCAAATTCATTAAGTTTGGGAACGTGATTTTATATGCTTTGATTCTGCTAGTTGAACACTATAAATAATTATAAAGTTTTATTTCGCGTGGCCAATTTTATAAACAACTTTGTGTGAAATTTACTCTATATATCAAATTTCAATTAGAATATTGTTTTGTCGAGGTGATACGAGTAAACTTTTCGTAAAAAAATGATTGAAACATTTAAAATATTTAACGATTATGATATAAAGTTACGAATGCCATCATTATTTTAAAATCATATTTTTATAAATTTTTTTTTTTAAAAAAAAAAAAATAAATTATAAATACATTTTATGGTTAATTCAATTATGTTATAACATGGAGGCATTTTCTCACCTTTGAAATGATAATTTTTTGTAACATGCCGAGTGTGATAGATATATTTGAAAGTGCTTTGCTAATAGAGTTCAAGAGAAAATTTCTTGTAATTAAGCTATTGCTCTAAACGTTCATTTTAAGTGACTACTTCAAAGGTTGTCTGAGTAAAGTTTTTCGTGGTTCATGCTTTAAAAGTCCCAAATAGCAAATGGAAGGATCAAAATATATTCGCTAGATTCAAGAACTAGAACGGTAATGACGACGTCATACTAAGGACTAAAAAGGACACCGAATATTTGTGTGAATTGGTTTACTTTTTCTTGATCAATCCGAGTACAAAAAATCAATATGCTTCGAATAAAGATGCTTTTATATTTCAACATGTATTCTTTGCTTATCCAAAGGATTGAGATTTAACAAAAAAGGAGTAAAGAGATGCTCAAAAGCTCAATCTTTACCGGAACAAAATTATTAGTGTATTTTAAACGTTATGAATTCAAAAGTTTATTTTTAGAGTTGGTCAAAAGTATCAAGCAAGAAAGTTCAAAACATTATTGATCAATTCATAGATAATTTTATTGACGGGACCAAACCTTTATACGTTCCGAATTTGTAAGTTTTTTACCTTAATCTAATATTTTTCAATCTTAACATAAAGATTACTAAATTTTATTTTTCTTTATAAGGACGTACGAGAATTTATTATGCCGCAAATTTGCAAAGAAATTCGATGCGTCCAGCCGTTAGGAATATCATTAAAGGGTAGTGTAGGAAATTTGGAACGTTATATTGTGCATTGCTGGTTGTGTTGAAAACTTTGAATAAATCTCATACGTTGAACATGTTAAAGCATCTATAAACGAACTTGTTGAATTTTTTATTGATAAAACTATTGACATTAAATCATTAAAACAACTTTTAAAATATTCAAACGAATCATTTTAACGCAGCAGCTGTCAAAAAGAAAGTTCAAGTGAGGTGATTTCTCGGGATGGAATTGCAGAGTTAGAGAGAACTATGTGATAATTTTTAACTTCAATCCTATATACTTTCCAAGTTTTATGAAAGATTTCGTTCGATCGTTAATGTTTATTAACAGCAGATGTCAAAGTACCGGTTAGGCAAACTACAGTTATGGTAATTCCATGAGAAAATGATATGTATTGGACATCATTGTCAATCTTTTCGAAATATATTTGTAAACTTGTCTCCAAGCTGCAAATAAAGTAGTATATAGCACAAACGTTAGTACCGACTGATATTTAAAATATATCGTGTTTCTTTATTTTTGGAGAGATGTGACAAATTTCAATGTAGAACTCGATTTAATGTGTAGATATGAGACATTATAGATAATAGATTTATAAAGTTCCCTGATCATATTTCAATAATTCTTTAATAGATTGCGCGACTTGAACGACTAGATATATTTTTTCAACATCCCACGTGGGACAGAGGATTTGTTATTGAAAATTATTCGTATTTTAAAGAAACGAGTCCATGATTTTCGGACAAGTAATTTAATGATTGTTGGGAAATTGATAAGAGAATTATCTAATGCTGATGATTTTATGAAGACATTGCATTATTCGGAAAAATCTACTTTAGGAGAAAAATTATTTTATGTAAAATAGAAAATTAGTAAAACATGTAGAACCGTAGATAATGGAATATATACCTTTAAACATGATAGGAAGGATGAAAAATGTGCCTTTAAAACCGAGATCATTAAAACTTAAATCAAATTTTGGATTTACACGAATAAGCTTTTTTAATTGCGAAAACTATCATAAATAAAATGCAAAAAAGTGTTGCGGATAATTTCATGAACTAAGTTAAGCAGACATCCACATTAATCCAAACGGAACATTTTAATTATAGAAGTTTTGAAATGATTGCATGGAACAATATATATGTGAAACTTAAATATTCAAGAATGAGCTTAAAGCTTGGTCTGCATTTTTATTTAACCTAGTTTTTTATTTCCTAATAGATCGTCATGAAGTGGGGTGTTATTATTTAACATCACTTCCTGCTTGTCACATCATAACATTATTTATATCAGAAAAACAATTAGATGAAATTTATTGAAGAAAATGCAGAACGTTGATTAGATATAAACAGCAAAATTCTTTTACCGTCTCATTAAGACTATCTTTGTGAAATTGGTAATGTATTGAAAAGAAATATTTCAAAACAAACGTCTGAATTTATAATTATTAAACAACTCATAATGTCAGTATAAAATGTTCGTTGCGGTTTGTACTGACAAATCGCTAGTTCCAAACATCATCATGTCATTGTACTCAAATCATGGATTTATCCTGAATTATAGCAAACTTTGTTATGTACTTCAACTATTACAATGGAAGAACTCTCGAACTTATCAAAGACGATTCTTTGATTCAAATAATGGATATGAGAATTACTTATTCCGTGTATCGCAAATTATAAGACTTAGAGATTGAATTAAAACATAATTTAGATGAACAAGTTAAGTCATTGCGAGAAACTTACAACCAATATTTATTGGCGCTTATCATTTGCAAAGTAACTTGATCTATCATTATATTTTAGAACAATCATCCTCAGATGTTCACTCAACATACGGCAAGACACTGAAGAAATGAGAGAAATCTATCCGGAATTACGTTAATACGTTATAAGTGAAACTTCAGAATTATCCGGACTGAATGGATCAAAGAAGCTAGGTTTAAATAAAAAGAAGGTCCGCGTAGCTTTTGCTTAAGAGGTGGTATGGTCTTTGGTAAACTTTACGCCAATTCAAAGAATGCAAACTTCGACTCGAAAAAAGTTTGCATAGTTTTAGACCAATCATTTTTTCCTAGATTCTGACTGTACTGTAAAATATAAATATATATAAATTTATAAAATTTTGTAAAGTTGAATGTTATTTCGATTTATGAAAACTGTATACAAGAACCTGCTCTTGATATACAATTTATATTTATGAATTTTGGAATATTTTTAACATTTAAATACAAGATTTACTTTTTATTCATTAAATGATACATTTTATTTATCCAGTTTATAATATTTGTAGATTTCAAGAATGTAAATCAAAAAAGGCGTGTATGAAATTATAAAATTTAATTAAAAAGTATAATAGTATTTGATTCAGAAACTTTATTATTATGAAAGACATGCAGAATGTTAGAAGCGTCACATGCAAATATTATACCTTGAACTTAGTAAATTATTCCCATACATGAAAGCTTTTAAATTAAAAATGTCTATTCAATGCAAAATTAAAATATATTATGCTACATAACTATTATGATTAATTTCAACAATACTTCCAGGTAGTTTATGTTCCTCTGGAAATTGTACGATCCTAATTTTATTCCATCTATAAAATAAAAATCCACATGCTATAATTATAGCAGCGCCCAATGTTCCGCCAATTGATGCGATTATTGTAACCAATCCACCATTAGTTTGCGATGATTGTGGCATTGATGAGCCAGAATTAGTCGAATTAGTCGTTACATTTACACTTGTTATTTCAAATGAATTAACCCACGTATAATTTCTAACATCCATTATATAAATATTTTGATTCTCAATTAGCAATGGATTAGAATTCTTTCGTGTAATATTTCCTATTAAAATACATTAAAATAAATCAAAAGTTTATGAAATATTTTAATAAATGATATACTTACCAAAAGCTACAATCATATAATTTCCAACCAGATCAGCTGTATGAATTGTAAGTGATGGAACCTGACCAACATTTGAATTAACTTGCGGAACAATCATCTCAAATTGTTCTGATTCCATCTTTAAAACAAACAAATCCGGAGAAACTTGCCTATTTCCAAATTCACCACCATATATAATGATTGTATCATCCGGAGCTATTTTAATAAAAAACAGATAAGTAAATATATTAAATATTTTATTGATATCAAATCATAATTATATACCTAAAACCGCCGAATGACTATGACGATTGTGAATTATATTTGAAGATTTCGCTATCTATAAATACATTAAATTATTTAAGTTTTAAACTCTGTTCATTAAATATGATAATTTAGATACATACTTTCACAGACCAAGTTAAGTTCTTTGTATCAAAAAGATTAATTTGTTTAATGTCAATTGATCGTGTAACGTTTTCAATCATTTCTGAACCACCAATATATACAATAACTCCATTTGTCAATAAAGTTGCGGTATAAAGATGTCTTGGGTTTGGTGAATTAATTGTATTAATTACCCAAGATGATTTAACTGTATCTAAAATAACCATATCATTGAAAGACATGCTTGTTGTAGAACCAAAATATGTTCCTGTACGTCCACCAAAAATATATATTTTTCCGGTATTATCAATAACACCCTTCATTTTCCTTCGTCTTTCAGGCGG